TCAGTCAGATTTAAGGAGGAATTAAAAGAAAAATAAAAGGTTTGAGGCATGTGGGAATCGAACCCACGACTCTAGGCAGAATAAAAGGAATTTAAGGAGAAAATTAAAGTGGGGTTGTGGGGGGTCGATCCCACATCCTCTCGGCCAAGAAGGAGAAAATTAAAAGTATAGAAAATAAAAGGAAATGAGGTTGTGGGGTTTCGATCACACATCCTCTAAGTCCCAATGAATGAAAAATAAATAGAGAAATCAAGGGGAAAATGAAATGAAGGAGTTGGGGCTCGATTTAGGGTCTCCAAGTCGTGTGGATCAAACCAAAATAAATAAAAACGTAAGTGTTGTTAAAGGGACTCCAAATCGGGTTCCCTTGCCCGAATTCCGTATTGATACATAAGTCATACGTGAATTAATGTTAAAAAATAATGTTCCCTACATAGATCCAAATTGAGATCTTTACATACTTACAAGATTCATAAGTCTTGTACCACATAATCATAGGAAGATTTGAATCACTTAAACAAACTATGATTGGAGCGTCATGGCTTATATGTATAGACCCATAAGTCTAGCATACATGTAATGTAAGTGAACCTAAGATGTATGTAACGAAATGATGATACCCTAGAAGGGTCAAGTTAGAGTGTGAAACACACTAAATGGCCAAGTGCATTGGCATGTGATGAAATGAACATTCATGTAAAAAAGGGTGAGTAATTATAAAGAGCAGATATGCTAAAGCTAATGAATGGGGTGACAAATGATAAGAGGCTAATGTGAAAGATGAGATCAATCTCAAATGAGCCTCAGTAAATGTTACCAAAATGTACTCACCTATGAGAGTGTAAAGCTAAAGAAGAGATCAGTCTCTATGAACACTCTACCGAAAGTATTGACATTAATGTCTACTTAATACTAATGATGAGATGATAAATCATATATTGAGCTATCCTCATACTAGAAGCCAGCTTCCGTAACTTATGAGTTGAATATAATGGAACTTTATACTGAGCACCGATAGGCTAGCTATGAGCGGTGATGCCTTCTTTCAGGAAGGGTGGAGGTGGACGTAACCCTCATGAGATGAGATTGTCCGGCATGCTGGGTATGGTTCTCTTTATATCTCCTAGTCTTTGAACCTATACTGCCAATATAGGGATCTAGCAGGGTTCAATTCCCTATGTACGCTAGCATGTTTTGGATCACTTTGGCAGGTGATTCCACCTCTTTTCGATGTGGGGAAGACACAAGATTTCATGATGTTCACATGATCTATGTCGGTTAAAGTTAAAGTTTCCAAATGAATGAATGAGGTCAGCCTCAAATGATGCACATAATGATATGAATGAGACGAAAGATGTTAGGATAGGATAATCAAGAGGTGAGCTAGACTCAAGTAATGACACTAGTTCATTCTTGATCATTGCACAGCAAAACCCGATGAGAGTCTTAAACTACATCCTAGGTATGACTAGTGTTTACACTGTCTTATGAAAGAATGAAATGAAGTACGTATGAATGAATGAAGCAGACTCCGTGTTTGCTAAAGAAGGCTCCCTAGTTGAGGTCTCATATATTGAGCCCTCATTTTTGGAAGTCTTAATGTCAAGTCCATGATTCCAAGGTCTCATGGCATATGAAAGAATGATATGAAATAGGCCAAAGTCATTTGCGGCCACTCAAACTTGTCCCGATTATTCATTTAGACACCTCAACTAGACGTACTACCTATTGAACACTTCAACCATTCTGAATTTGAACCATTTGAACAATTTTTCAAGAATAAACAAAAAATAGAGGATGTGAAATACACTCGCGCTGACATGTCAATTTGACCAATTAAATAATGACATGTGTTATTTTTTAATCCAAAAAAATATTTAAACATTATATTATAAAGTAAAAAAATAAAAAATTATTTTAAAGTAAAAAAAATGAAAAAAAAAGAGTAAAACTTAAACACCCACTGCCTTCAACTGGAACAAAACATACATTTCCTCTAACTCCATTAATGGCGATCCTCCCCTCCTTGTATAGTTCCATCTTTAACCTGACAAAAATTTTTTTCATCAGCTTTTTTATTAATTATAACTTTTTACTTTCATCTCGTTTTATAGGTAGAGAAAGATGGGGAAAAAAATCTCTCCAAAAAATTTATAAATGAAACAAAATGATAAGAATTTTGAAACCATTAGAATGGTGGGGGAAGAAGATAACCACTGATACTAAGAATTTTGAAATCATTAGAATGGTGGGGGAAGAAGATAACCACTGGTGTATGGGTATGGGGGTTGGGGTGGGGT